TTCACCTAGCTTCACATGATATGTAATAAAAATCACAACGGCTCACCATTTACTTAATTAAAAAATAATAATATTAAAAAATAAAAAACTGAAGAGGATGAATGGTGGTTAGAAAGAGCACCAGATACTATTATGCAACGTGAGCCGGAAGATATGACTGATATGATATGTAGACCTTTTGCATGGAATAAAAGTCTAAAATTCATTAAAAAAAAAAAAATTTCATCCCCCCTCAGTCCCTGTTCAGAGCAGTATGTATGCCTTCGCAGTCTAGTTGTTCTTATTTGATCTTCCTCTCTAATTTAAGCGTATGATAGCCAATTTTAATCCTTTCTCCTCTAGGACACCTGTTGTCTCTCCTGGGGTAACAAGTTTCACTCTGAAAGCAGCAGCTGACTTTTTTTCTTCAACTCTCATTCCCAACTTTGCAAGGTAAGCTTTCCTCAAACACAAATATTATTAGACGCTTAGCATATACTTTCATTGTAAAAATAATAAATTATAGAGGATATGACTCATGAATTGAAAAAAAAAATAAAAAAAAGAAGAGGAAAGCTTTTTGAGAAGGATTTTTATTTGATTATAAAAATTTTGTTTGTCTGATGTATTTTTGAAGAAAAAAAAAAAAGGAAAGCTTTTTCAGAAGGATTTTTATTTGATTATAAAAATTTTGTTTGTCTGATGTATTTTTGAAGAAAAAAAATAAACTTTCGTGTTTGTTTCTAATTAATTAATCATGTATTATATTTTTTTGCGAGCCATGTTAATTATCTCTAGGAAATTATTTTCCACCCAAATGGGGCTTAATTTTCCTCGTCCTACTCCTAGCTATATTGACATGCCTTTACACAAATGCTGTGCTGATCCTTTTTATAAACTTGTACTTTTAAAAAGATCGATCAGCAGAAGAAAGGAATGCAGAAACATGCAAATAGATAATGGAGAACATGCATTAGATCTGAGTCATTTGGATGAGGAAGATGTTATCATATCCAAGGGTTGCATCTTCAGAACTCCGGGCATGATCAAAATGCAAAATGAACACGCTTATACGCCCTATAGATTTTCATTTGGTCCTTGGCATTTCGGTAAAGCACAGCTGATGAGCACTGCACAAGAATTCAAAGAGGCATTTCTTGATGGACTCATTTTTTGTTTCCCAAATTCGGCAGCAAAGATGAAGGAGTTGGAAGAAGCCATCAAAGAGGCACATAGCAAGGCTAGAGAATGCTATGAGGGAGAGGATGTTTATGAGCTCGAGGGAGATCAGGATATTCAGGAGGGAGTTATGGATGCTGCCAAGGAAAACTTTGAGAAAATCTTGCTACTTGATGGTTGCTTTATTATCGAGTTGTTTCGGAAGTTTGCAAAAGGGGTAGCTAAACGTGAAGATGAGAGTACTCTTCTCAAAGGGTATGATTCATGTTCTTTATCACGATCTATTTTTGCTAGAAAACCAAATTCCTTGGTTTGTGCTTGAGCTCTTGTTTGACAAGACCAGAGTCTCTGAAAGCGAGAATACTTTAGTTGGACTTGCAATTGGATTCCTCGGTTCCGCTTTTTCACAGGATCTAAGTCATCAAATACCGCCAGAGCTTCTTTCCAGCGGCTTGAAGATTGTTCACCTCATTGACCTTGCTAGGCGTTGTTTAGGTTCATCGAAAGGGGGAAAAACTTAATGAGGCAGGAGTCAAATTTGAAAAAGCCGAATCGTCAAGAAAAATCTTGGATGTAAGATTCAACAAGGACAAGGGTGCTCTGGAAATCCCCTCTTTGCTGATCAATCCATCAACCGAAACCATCTTCAGGAACCTCATCAGCTTCGAGCAATGTAGCTATTGCATGACGAGAGTGACATGCTCCTAGATTGCCTGGTCGACAACTCAGATGATGCGGATTTAATGAGCAGAGCAGGAATCTTTGGTAATTGGTTAAACCCTAAGGAGGCGGCTAAACTCTTAAGCAGAATGCGCAATGGCACTTCAGTAGATGTTTTCTTTTATGCTGAACTTTGTGACAACGTCAACGCTTATTGCTTGAGGTGGTGGCCAAAACGGCGAACGTCTTTGATCCACAACTATTTTACCAAGTCATGGGCTATAGTTTCTGTAATTTTTGCCATTATTGTTTTGCTTTTCACCGTCATGCAGGTCTTCTATAAGCAGGGACAACTTCTTGCGCCAGAGAATAAATGAGCAAATTTATTGAAAATTATGTTTCATACACTTCTTGCGCCCCAAGGGGTGATCATCGAATACTGATACAAATTTATCATTCCATTTCACTCTGTAACATCAGCATATGACAGAGAAAATCTATGGTTATATATTAATGGATTGACATCCAACAGGAATGCACCTTCCCTGTAACCAGATCAGCACTTTTTCCGGGCTTC